TTGTTGTCTATCTGCCCGAGATCCTGCCTTTCTACTGAGCACCCAGTGATGCTCAAGCTAGTGGTTCACAGTCTTTGTTTCAGGTAGCTAGCACTTAGACTGTGCATCTTGACTGTACTTCCCTTACTTTTCAAGTCCATGGAATGAGTCGTACCTCACCATGGCTGGAATTTGTGCCTTCTAACAACCTACTGGAAGTACTTACCTCTGGGGTAAAGTCAGAAAAAGGGGCAAGATGGAAACTGTCTCTGTTTGAAAAGGACTTGTTAAAAAGGCAGACATTCTTAATTACTGGCTTTGTATCTTTGTCACTGAAGGCTGCAAATCAAGCTGCCTAGAGTCTTCTTGAAGACAGTTTATAGCTGCAGAGGTTTTTAACACTTCTCATCTGATTCTGCTAAATAGCCTGCTGGAATCCAAAATAGAAGCTGTGTAGGGAGATTCTCTCCTAGCATATTTCAGCTGCCAAGCATGTTCTCTTAAGCTTCTACTGATTTTTTTCTTCTTGGTATGGAATCAGTCATACACAATCTCAAAGCCCTCAAAGACATTTTGTTCAATTTGATATTTGATCCTGGAGTATGTCCCCTTGAGCATCATACCTAGACCTTGCTGTCTATCAGAATCATTTAAGAGCTTAAAAACTTTTTTTTTTTCTTCATTATGGAAGAAGTACAGTCTCCTTGTGAAACAGTGAAGTATTGGTGCAAAGGCTTGCCTCTTTTTGTTCTATTCCTAACCGTAGGTGACCGGTATTACCAGATTGCTCTGTAACCTCCCAGGTGTTTTTTTCTCTGCATTTCTACTTTTTAAGCCTATTATTGAGAGTGTATTTTAATATCACAGTGGGTTTTTAAACCTAGTATTCTAAGCTACGATGACATCCCTTTTTCACTTGGCTTGGAGACACCCTAGTTGGCTGGTTCTCCAGAATCTGGCTGGCCGCTCCTTCAGGGTCTCCCTGACAGTCTCTTCCTCTTTCTCACTTTCAAGTCTTGGTCTGGTCCAGGGCATGGTTCCTGGCCCTCATCTCTTCCCTGTGTTCACTCCTCATGCTCTCATCCAGTCCTTCGAGGTGCTAACAAATGTGTTTCTCCAGCCCAGATCTGTCTCCCAAGAGCTAACCACTTACACTTCCGACTTTCTAAGTGACCCTTCCACTTGAATGGACCTCAGAGACATCTTAAACTTCGAATCTGTCTCAAACTGGCCGGTTCTCCTTGCCCCAGACCTCATCTATGGCTGCTTTTCCCCATCTCAGTGTATGGTGATTCTTGTTGCTCAAGTAAAATCCTAAATTTTCTGATTCCTCTCCCTCCTTCACGTGCCACATCTTAGCCAGCTGAGTCCTTGCTCTGCCTTCACCTATGTTCCACATCTGCCTACTTCCCACCTCCTAGTCTGCAGCCACCCTCATCTGCTGTCCAGGCTAGTGCTTCTCAGCCCTGGACCTCATTGCAGGAAATATATTTCGTAGTGCAACCCATTGGGCATATTCATATGTGTATAGGTACATATGTGTGTGTTACATTTATATGTATATGTGACTGAAACAGAAGGTTCACAAAACCGTACTTACCTTTACTGTTATAGTGTATCCTGATACTGCACTTTCTTTTACTACGTGGAAAAAAAATATTAGTGGAGACCTACTAAATTGATTTCATTGACACACTTTCATTCATGAGCTGCAGTTTGAAAAACACTGGTATGGATCCTTACTATTTAAGGTAATCCCTGGAGCCAAGAGCCTTGCCATTAACTGGGGGCTTTTTAGAAATGCAAATCTCGGCCCCTCTGCTGGCCCATTGAACCGTACTCTGCATTGAAGGAGATCCCAGGTGACTGGCCAGCACTTGAAGTGTGAGTGGCATTGTCTGGAATGACCTCTGTGGTTGTCCACTAGCTCTTTTTGCCAGTCATGTCCCCTGGAGTCTTCCTCACTGTGCCCAGAGCTGGGGCGGTCCTTGTAAGACCATTCAGGATAAGCAGTTCCTTCGCTTACAGGGCTTCCCACTTCACTTAGAATAAAATCCTACAGGATACTGTATCAAGCCAGGTTCTCAGCCTTGGCTGGCAGCACACTAAGATCAGCTGGAGGAATTGAAAAACAAACAAACGGTACCTGGAATGCATCACAGAGTCGGATCAGAGTATCTGCATAGGCGGCTGGCATTGAGAACTGCTGTTTGACGTGCCATCTGACCCCTGCCTACCGCTCAGAATTGGCCTGTGTGTGGCCCTCCTGGCTTGCTCAGCTCTAACCACATTGGCGGCTTTCCTGTTCCTTGCACAACGGTGAGCTAATTTGTGCCCCAGAACCTTTGTCCTGCCTGGCATTTTCTTCTGTAATGCTCATGCCCTTCCTTCCTTCATGTGTTTGTGTAGATGTCAGCATCTCACAGAGACCTCCCCTGACCGGCCTGTCTTCTTATTGTTGGCTGCTTCTTCATCCCTTTTCGTCCCATATATGTGACTTATTCTTCTCCATAGCAGTTGTTACTCCCAGCACTATATTTAGCATTGTTGCCTTACTTATTTACTCTTTATCTCCCCCTCTGAAGTTGAAGCTATGTGAGGACAGAGCCCATATCTGTCTTGCTCACTATGGTACGTCTTGTACTAGAATAGTGCTTGGCCCAGAGGAGATGCTGAATTAGCATTTATGAATGAATGCAAGTCAGTAGAGTAAGTACATGACTGTATCATGGGGTTTTTTTTTTTTTGGCTTTTTACCACTGAGTCTGCCCATGCTGTTTCAAGACCATGAGGCAGGAAGAATGCTTCATCCCTAGTAAACTGTAACTCCGGTCCGTTCCATATATTTTGATTCAGGACAGTGTTCCTTGTCTGAATGGCAGGATTACTTATTTTCCTAAAGGGACTCAAGTGTCTTCAGATTACCAGATCTTTAACTTGAGCTGGTTTTGCTTTTTTTGGTAGGGTTTGGGAGACTTTTTCATTTAACCTGGACATTTTTCCTTTTTGAAGAGAAGCTTATAACTGAATAACAGAAACCTATAGCATTTAGGACTGATACCAGAATGTTAAATGTCAGAGGTGATTTTGGCTTGGATTTGGAGTTGATGTATTTAAATGATAGCTTGCTTTATCTTAGTCAATTTCTTTTTAAGTCCTCATTTGGAACAGTGTCAGTTTAACAGAACTGACATAACTGCATTACATAATCAGACTTTTAAAGGATGCAAATTGAAAAGTCATTGCAGTTAGGTTTCAAAACTGCTTCTATTTTATATGCTTTGAGGGTTCGTCTTCCTGCTTTTGATCTGAGAGCCTTGATCCCTCCTTCAGTAGGTTAATTCACAGCCACGGTTCTAAGGAATTCTTCAACCAAAAAAGAACACAGTGAGAGTAATGTCCTTGTTTAATGACAAGATGTGAGTAAGGGCAGAGGACAGCATCAGCCTTAAGAAGTGTCACTAGTACCTATCTGCCGTACCACGGAATGCCAGGAAGGTGCTCGAGTGACCATGGTCAAGATGCAAGAGTCATTCTTTGTGCCCAGTGTTGACTGGCCTGTTTTAGGTTGTGTTTATTCACTGTTGGTCTCTCTTAGGCTCCTTGTCTCTTAGCTTCAATACTTAGGTGATATTCCTTGAACATGAAGCGTTTGCATCAAATTTTGCTCATTACTTATAAAATATATAATCTTTCATCTCCTGTGAGACCCATATCTGGCTTTTCAATCAAAGCAGTTCTTGTTGTTTTCCCTTAATGGCCTTTATATTAATCATGATTCTTTAGGGTACAGACTGAAAACCCAGCTGATACAGGAATTTGTTGCCTCGTGTAGCTGGCTGGCGCAAAGGGACTGAAATGATGTCATTGTGTCTTGACGGGCTATACTCTGCCATTTTCTCCTTGTTTCATCTCTGCTTCCCTATCGTTGGGCCTCATTCTCAGGCAGGCTTCTCTTGGTGATATCCATACTGTGGTGTGCATTTCCAGATTTGCATGCTCTTCAGCCATGCCATGGGAAGGAAGATGTCCCTTCCTAGTTTCTCCAGCTGATTAAGTCCCATTGACTCTGGGGCCATGGGCTCTTAGCACTGTGGCCAGGGGACACAGTCCCCTTTTCAAATAAGGCTGGGTCACAGGAAGGTAGAGTGAGTCCCACCGAAATACAGCGATTCAGGGAGGAGGCTGGTTCCATGGGGGGAAATCTGAGTAGCATTGGGAGAGTGGGGTTTGGTCTTAGCTGGGCATGCTAAGAACAAACAATTGGTTTATCTGGTATAATCACTGGAACGTGACCTATGTTCTGAAAACTCAGGACATGCTCTGTGCTAAGACGAAAACTTGCTCAGTGGGGAGACTTGCTTGGTCACTTGGTGCTATGTCTAACAATATCTGTGGTTGATGCTTTACTCATAGCTTCCATGTTTAGTATTAACTTGCATGTTTTATGAACTTAGACACATCATTTCCCTTCTCTGTGTAACCATTACAATGATTTGTAAGTGGGAGGCCTGTGTAAGGCTCCTTTCAGCTCTAAAACCTTGTGATGTCATTTAGGCCACTCTCCTTTTTAAGAGTAAGAATGTGTGACTCCAAGTGACCACTGCCAGTGGCAGGGTCTGGGTTGCCTTTCATATTTTAAGGGCTGAGATTAGAAAGAAATGAAGACAACAGCAAGGGGACTGGTGATTGATTCAGCAGTAAAAACTGAGTAATTGTGTGCAAAGTTCTAATGCTAGTTCCTTTGCATTAGAACTTTGTTGACGAATAAGATGTTTCCCTGAAGTCATGTGGAATACTATAGAAGAAAAAGGCTAGTTTATTCTATGATAGTTCTATTATAAGGCATGAGAGAATAAATACTAAACAGACTCATGTCCTATTCCAGGAGAGCCCAGAGCAGAAGGTGAAGACATGTTGTTAAAGATATGCAGGATAAGAGGGGAGATGAAGCTGGAATGTGGATTGAAGTCTCTTGAACTTGAGTGCTGGCCTAAGGAGCTCAGACCTTTATTCTGGCAATGAGAGCCTTTGAAGATGTCTGCATAGGGAAGGATATGGGCAACAAGTGTTTTAAGAAAGCCAACTCTAGTGGAGAGGTGGAAGACAGCAGTCCCTATGGGAGACGATGGGACCAAAAACCAAGACAGAGGCAGCACGAAAGGTGGGGTGGCCAGAGGTGTAAGATAGATTCACTAGGACCTTCTGCTCACTGGCTTTGGGAGATAAGTAGGAGAGAGAAGTTGAGATAATTCAAGCATTCTTTCCTGATTTACCAGGAGGTTAGTGGTACCATTAATCAAGACGCATGGTTAAGAGAAAGGATGGATTTAGGGTGGGGACAGGGACAGAGAATGATTTGACACTGGTTCATGTCCTGTTGCCATGGCCATGGGGTGGGTGTCAGCTACCCATACCTTCGAAGAAGCCAGATGAGGTATGAACAAATGTGAAGACACATATCAGGCACTTAAATTCTGGTCTGCAGTTTAGGAGAGCCATGAGAGCTGGAGATGCAAGTGCGGATGTCTTCAGCCGAGAAGTTGCATCACTCAGGACTGGGTCTTGGCTGTTACAGAACAGAAATACAAATCATGGGGACTTGAACCAGATGGACATTGCAGTGGCTGCTGTCGTTGCTCTTCCTCATCCCCTGACATCCCCATGTGTTCCTCTTGGGTTTTGTGAGCATTTGCCTCCTACAGCCTGAGCTCTTGCCTCACCATCAGAAGACTGCCTTTGGGCTCTGAAGGAGACTTTGCTTTAAAACATGGAGAGCCAGGGACACCTGGGTGGCTCAGTCGGTTAAGCTGCCTTCGGCTCAGGTCATGATCCCATGGTCCTGTGACCGAGTCCCACATTGGGCTCCTTGCTCAGCGGGGAGCCTGCTTCTCCCTCTGCCTGCCGCTCCCCTGGTTGTGCTCTCTTGCTCTCTCTCTCTCTGGAAAATAAATAAATAAAATAATAAAAGAAAATAAAACATGGAGAGTCGAAAGTGCCTGGGAGTCTCTACCGTTCTCCACCCTAACCTGGGACTGACTGATACAGAAGAATGAAAGCCCAGCAACCCAGCCTCAGGTTAGGATAACAGAAGGCATCATTTATACTCCAGGGTTCTTCATAGGGTGGTCTTCTGTAAATTCTGCCTAAAAGTCCACCTTGATGGGCTTCTCTCTTCTCTCTCGTGCTTTCTCCACCTCCCTCTAGGTCTATCCTAGGAGAATTTCCTTAATAAATCATTGGTACATGAATTCTTACTTCATTTTCCCCTTCTGGGGGACTCAGCCCAAGACAGGTCTTTACCTCAGATAAAGGAAGTCCAGATATAGGTATCCTGGGTCTGGTGTGGCAGCTGCATGTTAATGAGAACTGGGTCCCTTGTCTCTTTCTGCTCTCCTATCCCTAGTGTGTGCCTATGCTTAGGTTGTCTCTATCATAAGATGGCTAGTTTAGCTCCAGCCATCATATTCATGTTCCAGGGTGTGGGAATGAGGAAAGGGCACAAGGATGCACCTACCCACTAACTGAGCCTCCTTTAAAAGCCTTCGCCAAAAGCCCTTCACAGTGGCCATCTTACTGGGAGGCTGGGAAGTGTGAGTGTGTGTGTTTAAATCTGGGCCCATTGCCACCACCAATGATAAAGTGTTCTGTTAGGAAGAAGGGGAATGGGTACTGAGTAAGCAGCAAACAATGTCTGCCACAGAAGTTAAAATCAAAACTAAGCATGCAGGTAGTGTTGCTCATGGAAGCCTGCGTGAGGTGCAGAAAGTAGAACATAGTATTAAGGAAATGGTCTCTGGACTTAGACCTGGATTTAAAACCCCTCCCCTGCTCTAATGCTTACCTGATACATATAACTCGGGCTGATTGCTAAGCCTCTGTTTCCTCATCTAAAAAATGAGGATGGTAATAATAATGGGACCTAGCTCAAAAAGTAGTTTTGTGAATTATTAAGGTAGATGTCGTTTATGAAACTCAGTAACATACCTCGTACACATTACAGTCAGTTTGGGCCATTACAGATGAGGAACAGGGGCATTGGTTCAAAGATGTTTTCAAGAGCAGAGAAAGACAGGTAGTGAGGGGGCCTCAAGAGGGACAGTGAGGCAGAGAGTAGGAGCTTGGAAATTGCCGGGGAGGGTAAGGGAGAGTGTCAGATGGCGCCAAGATTAGGGAGAACGCCATCTGGAGGGGCAGCTCACTTTTCAGCTTTTAGGTCATTGATGACCTTTGAGAGAATTGTGGTAGTGTGGCTGGGGCAGAATGTTTTTATGAAATCAGAAAGGCCAGGTATGACTGTCATGTCATAGGTGGAGAACTATGGTATATGTTTGTTTTCTCTTTGGAGTTTGCCTGAGCACACCCTGCCCTGCCACCACCACACCTCCCCACTCCCACAACCCCGACCTAATTGATTAAGGTGAAACCAGAAATTAAATCCAGATCCCCTGCGTATGAAGGCCTTGCTGTGCATGCCAGCTGCATTTACAAAAGAGTGATAAGCCCAAATTATAGATAAACGTTGTTCTAAAAAGTCCCCCACATTTCAGAAAGCTCACTAAGCTTAAATTGTGGTGTGTTTTTTAGGTAAGCCTCTAACAGTGAAACTATCAGCCACGAATTGAGAAAAAGTGCCCTAGGATGTTGGAAGAGGTCTGCGTTTATGGTTGAAAACTAAGTCCATCAACAGATGAACTCTTTCCATGAGTTTTCTTTCCTGCTTTTAAAGTATGAATTTTTAATAGTGGTTATACCTGCCCTGCAGTTAGTTCCAAATCTTGAACTTAGTAGCTGAGTGAAATAATAGTCTGTTATTTGTGTAAGGTGGTGTTTGTGCTCTGCTGATCCCTTGCTTACAGGTGGCAGATGTGGAACGTGGGGTTTATTTATGATCTGGAGGGTTTAGTAAGTGGTCACAGATGGGTTTTCAGTTCTCTGAACCAGGTTGTTATTGCAATAAAGGTGTGAAGTGTTACCTTTCCAGTTTGGGGTTATGTGGATCAAATGACTACCTTTTTGTTAGAATCCTTTTCATTGTCATACATGGAAATCTCTCTCCTCCCTAAAATCTTAGACAACTTCTTAGGATCAGAAGTCCTCATTAGCTGCTCGGTCTTTTCATAATCCCCTTCATTTGTATACCCTGTTTGTGTTTAAATCCAGCAAATACTCTATGACACAGGAAAAGACACAAGTCACCCTATGGGGGAATAGTAATATGGTTGTAATTCACATGAAAACAGTTGACTTTATCTTGTTTCTCTGGGTCAATGAAAGTATAATCTCTTAGAGGCTGATATTGTCAGTGTATTGATATGTCAGCAGTGGTTTGTGGCTTACTCATTTTCAGCAAGCATAGGTTAGGAATATAGAGTGGTAAGTGAGTAAATTAGCTCAGAGAGAACTAGGCAAATGAGAAAACAAGCATATGTCCTGTCTAAAGGGGTGTCCGTTCACTGGCCTCCAGCTATTTGCTGCCATGCAGAAGTAAGAGCCAGTGTTACCAATTCCTGTTTTTGTCTTTTAATGAAAAGCTGGAGAGGTGGGTTTTAATATGAAATTGCCTACTTTTACATAGTGGCAATTAATATCAGTTTGTTCAAAACATGGAGCAGGCCAGATAGAACATTGTCTATGAGCTGGATTTGGCCCTAAGCCCACCAGCTGGCAACTCTTGCTTGAGATAATAACATTTTTAAGTGAGGCTACTCTTCATTCAATGTGTCCATATGCACAGAGGAAGGTTTTATGGAGCTGGGGGTCTGTGTAGGTGATGATGATGTCCCTTGAGCCCCCGTGGAGCTGCTGTCTACAGTGCATTGGACAAATGAGACAGCAATCCAGAGCTGTACATGAGTAGTTTAGTAAGAGAGGAAGGGTAAAAGTGATGACAGGTTTCCAGGTTTGAGAGATGACTTGTGGCTGGCGTCCCTGAGGAAGGGTGCACTGAGGTGCACTGTGAAGGCGATGGGGCACAAGGGGCCATACCAGCTATGGAGGAGCACAGTGAAACTTGGAAGTGAGACACAGCATGTGCATTTAGGTAGCAGTCAATGACCGCGTTGGGCTAGAAGTAAAGTACCAGTTAACTTTGGTCCAGAGATTCTGATCTGGTGTGATGTGTGGTCCTGTTTAGCTGCTGCCACCCCTCCTAGCTTGGCAGGCCATTCCTCCCTGTCTGCTTGGCATCTAAAGTACACAGTTGTAGTGGTCTCCTCTCTTGTGTTAATCCTCGCACTTGGATTTGCAAACACCTACAGAGACTCGTGCATTGAGAGGCTAGTAGTGTTAGAAGACTCTCACAGTCAGAGTGCTGGGTTGCTAAACCATCCTGAGCTCACCTGCGGTGTGGTTCTGTGATGTCCCCTTGAATCTACCTTTTGGGGAAGGGCGTGTGAATGGCATGAGGCTTAGGCACCTAACTAAGGTCTATATGACCTTGTACAGCTCTGGATAGTGAGTCATGCTGAGCTTATGTCCTTCTCCCACTTAAAGTTTGTTCCTGGTCTTCTCACTGCTCCTGGTTGCAAGGAAGTAAGTCTTCCTTTCGGTGACCTGTCATTGCTCTTTTTCTGGACATGACCTATGGTAGTCAGATCTCTAACTGTGACATGATTCTTGACAGCAACAAGAAGGTCTTCTCCCTACTTCCCTGGGTATGTTTCAAGAAACCCTAGTTTGACCCAAGAATTAAAAAATAAAAGCAGAAAACTTAGGAAACACAATTATTACATCCACCTTTAAGATGATCATAAAACATGGGAGTTATATTAAAGGCTTCGTCCAGTCTTACAATAAAGAAATAGTTTTAGCTTTGTTCATATGAACTTTTCCAAAAGTATACTAAAAGTCTGTCAATTGGGAGTGTTCCGGTTGAGGTGTGATGTCATGTAAGTCACTTAACTTCCCTGAGCCTCCGTTTCCTCCGAGAATATTGTGAAGTCCACTGGGTGTCCTGGTTCCATCCTCTGGCTGGGATGCAATTTGCTCATTTCTCCTAGTGTGGTTCAAAACAAAAGGTCATATTCTAGGTGTGTTCTAATTAGTGTACTGGATCATTACTAATTTTTTTTTTCCTGGCCATTATATTTTGGTGCCACATAACACTGACACATTCTATTCCCATCACTCAGACTCCTTCCCAAGACAATTTTCCCTGTGTCTTACTTGGGAAATGAGAG